CTTCAGAAATTCTTAACTCTGGCCTTTCTTCAGAGGTTCTAACATCAGAATCAGATTGAGACTTATCCCACTTCCAAACTTCTGATTCCTTCACAATCACATCTCTGCTGAATTCAATTTTATTGGTTTCTGGACAATAGAGCTTGTATGCACCTGTACTGTGGTACCCTATCAGAATCATCACTTTGCTTCTATCATCCAGCTTCTGTCTTCTGGCTTCTGGAACATGTTTATAGCAAACAGAACCAAATACCTTCAGATGACTAACACTTTGCTTGTCTCCAGTCCACTTCTGCATAGGAACTATTTCCTTCAACTTCTTCGTAGGACATCTGTTGAGTACATACGTTGCAGTGGCAACAGCTTCTCCCCAGAGCTTCTGAGGAAGCTTCTTCTCCTTTAGCATGCTTCTCACCATATCAAGCAAAGTACGGTTTCTTCTTTCAGCAAGACCATTGTGTTGAGGGGTATAAGGAGCAGTAACCTCATGCTCAATTCCATTCTCCTCACAGAACTTCTGGAACTCTTTGGAGTTATACTCACCTCCACCATCAGTTCTAAGAATCTTCAACTTCTGACCACTCTGATTCTCAGCCTTCATTCTGAACTTCTTGAATTCATCAAACACCTCGTGTTTGAACTTAATAAGGGATACCCATGTCATTCTTGTGAATTCATCAACAAACAACACAAAGTATTTATTCCCTCCAATTGATGCTACTGGAAATGGACCACACACATCAGAGTGTACAACTCCCAAGGCATGTTTTGCTCTTTGAGCAACTTCTGATGCAAATGGCAATCTTGGTTGTTTTCCTTCCATGCAAACTTTGCATGACTTTTCAGGCTTCTTAATTGCAGGAATTCCATGTACCAATTTCTTTGAATTCAGATGTTTTAAGCTTCTGAAATTCAAATGACCAAATCTTCTGTGCCACAGCTCACTCTCCTTCTCAGTACTTGTTGCACTAAGACACTCTGAGTCTGCAGTTCTGACATTCACCTTGAATGTTCTATTCCTTCCCTGTTCTGACTCCATAATCAACTTCTGATTACAGTCATACAGCTTCAGAAGATTGTCCTTCATGGTAACTGAGAAACCTTTCTCAATTAATTGTCCCACACTCATCAGATTGCTTCTGATGCCAGGTACATACCACACATTCTGAATCAATGCTATTTTCCCATTGTTCATAGTCACTCTGACATTTCCCATACCTTTTGCATTAAGATATTTGTCATCAGCACATCTGATCTTTGTTCTCTTTTCAGAGTCAAAGTCAACCAGCCATTTCTTGTTTCCAGTAAGATAATTTGAACAGCCAGTGTCCATATACCACCAGTCTGTCAGATCATCAGATTCAGAGGCCATCAATAGCACAGATTCGTCATCAGAACTTCTGGCTATATTTGCTTCTTCTGATTTCTTCTCCTTGTTTGACCAACAATCTCTAGCAAAGTGACCAAACTTCTTACAACAGTAACATTGGATCTTCTTCTTGTCATACTTCTCTTTTCCCTTCTGAGCATTCTTTTGTCTATCAGAGGTTGAGGTTTCTGACTTCTGACCACCATCAGATCTTCTCTTGGCTTCTGACTGCTTCTGATACCTCCTATCAGAAATTGCTTTCAGAGCCTGCTGCTCTACTTCCCTTTCAGAAGTTCTCTCAATCAAACGCAACTCTTGCGCTTCTAAACTGCTCTGCAGCTCTTCAATTCTCATTGTGCTCAGATCTTTGGAATGTTCTATTGCTACCACAATGTAATCAAATTGAGGAGTAAGGGATCTCAATACTTTCTCCATGATTGTTTCTTCAGAAAGAGTTTCTCCACATGCCTTCATCTCATTAGTGATCAGAATCACTCTGGAGATGTATTCAGAAACTTTCTCATTATTCTTCATGTTGAGATTCTCATATTGCTTTCTCAAGGACTGAAGCTTCACCTTCTTCACTGATGCGTCACCACCATAACATCTCACCAGAGTGTCCCATGCAGCCTTTGCTGTTGTAGAGTCTGCAATCTTCTCAAACACGTTTACATCCACACATTGATGAATGAAGAACAATGCTTTCTGATCCTTCTTCCTTACTTCCTTCTGCGCGTTTTTCTGTTCATCGGTTGCATCTGCTGCTACTGGAACATAACCATCAGTAACAAGATCTAGAACATCTTGAGCACCAAATAGTACACGCATTTGGATCATCCAACGATTCCAGTTTTTACCATCAAATACTGGAAGTTTGGTGTTCATGTTGCCATTTCCGTTCATCTTCTACTTTGCACAATACACTCAGATTTCTCACACAGTGTTTCCCAACCCACAGAATAAAATTCTGATCAGATTTTGTTCAAGATTCAACACGAATCTAAGAATCAAAATCAAACACACAAGACCTCACGTTCACTCGTGTTTCCCGTGTTTCCCAATGAATCTGAACCGGAGCTCTAGATACCAATTGTTGGTGCAAAGATAGAATAAATGATGAAATAGGGAAATATTCTATTAAAGAGAATGACGGCAGAAGAAACAGGATTAAGAGTTACAATGATTGTCACCCTATTTATAGGCTAAAACTAGGGTTACTAGAATAAGATAAAATACTGAAATACCCTCTAACAAACTTATGGGCTTAAGAAAATAATATAATAAAATATGAATTATTACTAATAAAACTACTATCAGTTGAAAAAAAATTACGCATCTGTCACACATTCATTAGGGGTTCGTCCAATAGAAGGACAAATATGTAAAAAGATTTTTTTTCATAAAAGGGTTTGGCCAACCAAAAGACGACCCCTTGAGACCTCTTTTTCTTTTATATTTAAATATAAAACTCTTTTTTAAAATATATCTTTAATTGTTTTTTAAATATTAAATACTCTTTTAATAATTTAAAACATTAAAAAATATATAATAAACATTACAAATTAAAAAATATTTTTTAAAATAATATAAAAAACAAACAAATTAATTTAGACGAGCCGATTTGACGGATATGCTACATTCGAACATATTCTATGCATATAACTAAATTCTCGACATATTCCGCATCTTCTCTTTTCTTTCTCAGGATCATCCATTTCGGTTCTAATTCTTGTACTATTTGGACGTCCTTTCTTATTCCTTTGCATTGTCTCGTTATAAATAAAATAAAAAAAGAGGCTTCAAGGGATCGTCCTTTGGTTGGCCGAACCCCTTCATGGAGAAAAACCTTTTCACAAGTTTGTCCTTCCATTGGACGAGTCTCTGTTGAATGTGTGGCAGATGCGTAAATCTTTTTCAACCGGTGGCAATTTGATACATTGTATTTCAGAAGGTAGCATTTTAGTAAAAAAAATCTTACATCACATGTAATAAGCACAACGGATCCGGAATCAAAGAGACAGTAATCTTATGTCCATGTAAGAATAAATCCAAATTACATAACAGTAGAATGAATCAAATGACTAGTTTCCCTTTGATTAAGAACACCTATTTCATCCTTGACTAACGACTACAACTGCTAAGTTTTTCTAGAAACTGGACAAAAAAATTCTAATTACAAATGCGAAAACATATTAAATCTGGTACTTCTACATTTAGAATTTCTAGAAAAAGTAGCAGTGTAGCATGTTGGGTTAATACACCAATCCGAAATGATTAACCATTGAATTTATCTTCGTTATCAAATTAAAAAATAATAATTTCATTGAATAGATGTATGGAGTGGAGAAAAAATAATAGAAGCAATTGAAATTGGAAATAGAGAGAGTGAGAAGAACATGGAAGAAAGATAGAGAAGTTCTTATTATGATTTAATTTATTTTATTTATCTTTAATTACATATTTATGTGTCAAAAGGAATAGTTTTAATTGGATGCAGTATAAAATAATTTTGCTAACAGTGTATTCCAATTAAATTTTTATTCAATATAATATAAATATCACAATTTCATTCTTAGATCCAGGTTTTATTCCAATTCTTATTCAAGGAGTTACTTGAGTTCTATACTTTTAACGAAAATAATTGTTTGACATTCTCATTGTTTTCAAAAATATAAATAGATCATAAATTAAAACTAACACAAATTTTAGAAATTTATAGATTTTTCACAAAATAAATAGATCATAAATTCGATGAACATCCACACAAAAACTCCCAAAATTACTATGAACATGAAAATATGCTCGCAAAAGCATGAGGCAAAGGTTGGGGTTATGGAAAGTTGGAAGCAGGGACAGGCCGGTCATCAGAGAAATAACAGCAGGAGTGTAGAAGGACAACGGGAATTTGGAGGGGGAAAATGGTGGTGGAGACATGCTGATCATTTAGGAAAGGAGTTTTGAACTTAAAATGGCTGAAATTTAAAACAGTTCAAAAACCAGTTGAACATAATCCTATTCTGAAAAGAATATGCAAATAGTAAATTAAAAATTAAAAATAAAATTTTATAGTCCTACTAAATGGGATAGGCTACATAGACTAACTTTTAATCTTAATGTTCTATCAATGAACATATTACATATACCTACATGTAATATGGGAAAAAAATCTACACAAATTTCATACTTAAAAAAAAGTAAAAAGTTATAATTTCAGTCATAAAGCCAAATTCGGTTACTACATTATATAATGCATAGCTTAAGTGAGAAATAATTGCAGACCAGTTGACCTTACACATAAAGTTATTTGATTTTCAGCCTAAACAGTATATATTCAGCACTAACAATTCATTATTTGAATCAAACCGGGATGAATTTCACGTATGCATCAAAGTTCAGCTTCTATTTTATACAGGACACAGGATGAAAAGTTCTAAATATAAAAAAAAACCCAGCTCACATGACAAAAATAAATTGATGCAAGTAACGAATGGTCACAAAACAAGCCCAAAGATAAAAAGTAAACATAAGGCAATCCCAAATTAATGTGCAAGCGGTAATAGATCGGTAAAATAATTGATTTTTGAATTTGATACTTAAGGACGCCTTCCGTATCCCCGTGTTATTTGAACTCTCAATAAGAACTCACAAGAAATGGATGCTGGCAAACTCCACACTCGATGGTCTCTGAACCTGAGGTAGGTACCTGAACCTGCAAATATTCCAAAACAAAGACAAATATGGAAAATGAAGATGATGTGATGATACAACTGATACAGAATATCAGCCAGAGGAAATAAGCAATATATCCAAACCTGCAGATGGACAGTGCAAATAGGACATGCAACTTCCTTCATCCGTCTTCCAGTTCCGTCAGACTTAGAACCTACAAATCAGATCTCATAACTGAGCCACAACTATTATTTTGAAAATCTTAATTGAAAATTTGTCTATTTGAACTAAATTGCCCACACAACAGATTACTTGAAACCTACATCCTTTGAAAAAATGTGAATAAAAAATCTTTAGCAATATTACAACAGACTCCCAAAATTGAACCTAGATACCATTACCTGATCCTGATGACTTCCGATTTCTCTCCAGCTCCTCCTGCCAAGACATTCACCGATAAAACAAATCAGCATATGCTTACACAACAGAAGTAAGATTTACCAATATATTAATAAATTTAAAGCCTTCAATGGGCAAGAAAAACCAAGACACAAATTGTACAGCTATGCCCAAAATTAAACCTGAAGTTTCCGAGCAAGATCCTCATGACTCTGCAAAAGAGGTTTACTTGATGATCCCTTGGCACTGATCAGCCTGTGAGTCACTTCTGCCTGTGCAGTGAGATAATAAAAAACTTAAGAACATGACTTCAACAATTGATATGCTAAATCAATTGAAAAATAAATAACAAAAATGAGTATGGAGGGAATGGAAGATGCTTTTTGTCAAAAAAGAGTTCTTAACTGATCACAGTTGATGTCAGTACTAATTTACTACCTCAGCAATTACAAAAGTGAACACTTTCTCAAAAACTATCCTCTTTTCCATTATTTCCAAAGAGATCGAGAGAAAAACTGATCGGTCTCAGTAGGCTAGGTGCTCTAACAGAAATGACAGGAGGCATAGGAAATGGCTAGGTGCTCTAACAGAAATGCAGATACTATTCTAGAAGCAGTGGGAGAACCTATATGAAGGAAACGGTGGGCACTAGAGACAATATCTGAAAATTAGCAATTGGTTTGGGTGGTTTGGTCGGAGAGAAAATGGTTTTCTCCATATTGGCTATTATCTTTTAATATTTTGTTATTTATCATCTTGCAAGGAGTATAGCTCCATTCCCTTGTCATTTTAATCCTTTCTCAGTTGCAACAGTATCTTGTAAAATCGATTCATCTTCTATTAATTGAGTTACCCACACATACCATGCATCTGATTTATGGTTCGTATCAAAAACAAATAAAAAAATGTCACATACCAGGCATCTGTCGCAGACCCGTACTGGCTGAGCATTCTCTTCAGCAGTTAGAGCAATTCTACCTTGCGTACATTTGTCACAGAAAATATCACCACAGTTCCTACAGTGATGCTGGTACAAGCAGAGGATGCTGTCATTAGAAACACAACACGAAACATAGAAGGCATAGCATGAGAAAGGAAAAGAAATTCAACCTTGCGGTTAAAAGCCCCAAAATCAGTGCCACATGAGGTGCATTTTGTGACTGCTTCATCTGGGACCTGTACACAAAAAGAACTGGGTAAAGATTCCAATAATGATAAGAACTAATGAACAAGGACCCTGGTTAAACTAAATTATGATAATTGATAACACAGTTGATCAATGGATTTTCACCAAAACTACATGGTATTTAGAAATTTTCCAGGAGTTAATAGAGAGGAAGGCTAACATTCAATAAATTAACTGGATAATAAGACGGGCCCCTAATATAAGCAATATTTTAGGGGTCCAAAGGCGGTTAAAACTGGGTACATCTGATTTAAATTCTCATTTTTTTGTAACCAATTAAAACATAGTTTTGAGGTATTAAAAAATGCAAAATACTGTTGAAAATGAGAAAATTAGAAGTTCGTTGTTAGAGTGGGTCCATACTAGAGACAACTTGAATACACTTTCAGAACAATCACAATCAACTACCAGATGATAAGAAAACTACAAATTGCATTCTAGTAAAAATGAAAATGGTTTCAATGAGAAAACCTGAAGATCATTTAATTAGGGAAAGGGGGAGAAAACTCAAATTGCATCTATTGTTACCCAATGATCTTTCTCTTCATTTGCAGGTTTAATCATATTCATCCAATCACCAAGGCCTTTCTTTCTTTCAGTAGATTGTTCATTTGTTTTCAATGATTCAGCAGGCCTCCTGTTTCCACCCATTTCCTTGAACTGCATTAAAAAATGAGTAATTAAGACATGTATAACAAACAGTTGCCATCATTGATAACAATATGGGGGAATTTGACAAGTAGCCAAAGACCCCAAGAACAAAATGATAGAAACTGATTTTAAATGATAAAATATAATAGTAATTACAATGAGTTTCCAAGAAATTCGAGAGTCTTGGTTCTCTCCCTCCCAAATATAAACTCTTTCTAATTTTCAGCCTGCCTAGAACATGGTTCTGTTTCCCTTTTTATTCTGCCTAAGTTTTGTAACTGCTCATAATAAGAATAATGATAATAATAACCGTTACTCTAGTAATACTAATGGCTGCTCTTAGACTCGCTAACTGCTAGAGATGACATTTAATTAGGCTGTTCCTGTGCCTGTAATCGATACTTGACAGAATAGAACAGTCACATTCTGTTTTGATTCCTAGTAATTCTTAAGGCCCAACACAAAACAACTAAAAGCTATTTAAGTGGATTAAGAACTGGACCAGTAATAATGACAAAAAGAGTTAATAGTATTATAATCAATTGCAAGAGACACCAGTAGAAACTGGCAGCTTTTTAAAGAATATGAAACCATGTATTTATTTTTTGGTGATTAATGTAATTAAATTTATATTCCATTGTTTGGCTTGCTAGGGTCAACAGCCAAAACAATGAGAGACATGGTCAACACTATTACCCGACTTCTAAGTATTAAGGAATGACTATTTTGTCTAGTGATCCTTGCATCAGAATGAATTCAGTGTAAGCAACAGTGTAGCCCCGGATTCTTTTGTTTTTTTCTAAACTTTTCATGAGACCAATTAAATTGAAAATTTGAGGTAGATATAATGTAACATCAAATATAATAAATCTTAACCATTGGTGTTCAGTCTTCATATAGAGCATCACAGGGAATTGCTTTCCATTTGTGATAACCCTACCACCATATGAGACGTATTTTAGGAAGAGGTTCGAAGATATTCGGAGAACTGAACCCCGAGAATGCAAAAGAATGTTGTGACTTGAGCTAATTAAATGCCCACACAGCAAGGAGGTCAAGTGGGAGAAGGAATTCAGTTAGAGAAGAGAGGAAATGTAAGAGGCATGGAAAGCACAAGAAGGGTTTATAAAGGGGGAAAATCAGGCTACAGAAGAGAAAAGATAATGTGAAGGGTGTGGAATGTAAGAATATAAGGTTTAGGGAGGGCTCAAGCATTCTCAAAGCAATGTGCACTATTCCTTTTTTTTCATTTGTTTAACTCACTATAGCCCTGCTTTTGTCATATATATGGCCTGTTTGGATTGGCCGATTTGAGATTATCAACAGGCATACGTTATGGGAGGGCGCTTTTATATGTTTTTTCAACTTATTAACTCCAAGATAGCTTATGAAAACAGCTTATAGCATATACAGAAACAATTTATATTAACAATATCTTTTTCCGTAGAAGTATCTTATGTAAGCTTATACACAAACACAAGTGTTTATCATTATAAGCCGTTGTGCTATAAACTGCAAATAAGTTGTTTATCCAAACAGGGTCATATTGTTACAGTAAAGGAAGTATAATTCAGATTTATTTTCATGTTGTCCCAGTCCATTAATCAATCTCATTGCAACTCAAACATGGCAAGCAACTAAAACAAAAAATCCTTTAAAAAAAATACCAAAAACCGATATCTTCTCCAGAAATTTTTAATAAAATGAAACATGCTGTAACCAATTAATCAAAAATATGAACTGCCTATCTACTGTCATAACATAAGGATGAAATTCTTTGAAAACCTGTATGGTTGCAGCAGTCACTGTATCCAAAAGTGTGTTTGTAGTGTAACTATTAGATTGCAATCTGATTCGTCTTGGCTCAATGTCAACAGGGCTCTTCGACCAAAATGCAAAGATAGTTGAATCGACTCTCTGCGTAATTCAATTAACAAAACATTATTCTGAGATTGATTAGGAAAATGAATCTCCCATATACAATTAAGTAACATGAAAGTAATCAAGAAGCTCACATCACATTTAGTAATGTTCTCAAGAGGATATATTCTCAAAGTCCGACTGGTATTTGGATCTAGCATGCGAAGTCCATCCAAACCAACCTGAAAGAACATACATTAAAAAAAGTATAATCAAACTAGCAGCAATACCAAACGATATGCAAACATTCTTTTGACAAAAGAAAACAGAAATTGGCCCTGCATGTGACTGAATGCTTAGAAGTTTCTAATGAAATTCACCACACAATTAGTGGACAGGATGAGTAATAATAAACGAACAAAGGCAAGACAAAGCCTTTTCCTCTTATTACTTTGTTTACACTAATAGAGTAATCCACTAGGCCAAGCATAATTATTATGGTTTCATAGTATCAAATCTATGGACTAAAATTACTTCTATTTTGCCTCAAGGTCAAAAACCCAGATCCGGCATTAATTAACCTACTTATACAAAAGCAGCACAGCCCACCCAGGCAGTTTTGGCCGATTGCAAATGGTGGTCAATGGTGAGACAAAGTACTGCCATACCGAGCGTTTTGTGGCGCCGTGATAGCGGTTTATGGCAAAAAAAACCCACAATATTCGCCGATATTTACCAGTGAGGTGAGCCCAAAAACCGCCATTGATATTGGCCATGGCTGGTGTATGATAACACTGCACCCAGGTACCCAACAAATAGCCAGATTGCATTATTGTATCTATGCCATGTTTGGATAGACAGCTTAAGTAAGTGCTTATGGATAGCTATTTCTATAACATATAAAATAGTCAACTTATGGATCATAAGTTGTTTTCAATAAGTTCTCCTAAAAATCTCACAAAAGTTCATCTGTAGATAAGCTCATAAAAGTAATTCCAAACCGGACCCTAATCTAATAAATAACTGGAATCGATCAATTGAAAGCAAACCTAGCAGAAGAAAAAACACAATCAAAACAAATGCCTCTAGTTGATATATCCTCATCATACCTGGCAGAGAACATCCATTGTGCTCTGACCCCCACTCTCTGCCAACATCTTGACACGAAACTTTTGCACCCCACTTTTCACATCTTCCTGAGTATCAGCCTTAGGAACTGCTTTCACAATCTTACTTGCCACAGAAGACTCCTTCGCAGAAGAAAAACTAATAGGTCTCCCAAAATCATCAAAAGTCGGCGAGTTAGACCAAGTAGAAGATTTAGAACCCGTACCACGTGCACCATATGGTTCCACTTTTCCACCTTGATAAGCATACACCCCATCTCCATAACCTTCATCACCACCACCCACACTAACACCACCGGATTCATATCTAGACAAACCACCATCATGACGCTTACCATACAATTCCGATCCTAAATCGGACTGGCTCCGATTAAAACCTCCGTATCTGTCATCAAAATAAGCACCACCACCAACCCCGTAATCGGATTTCACTGGATTCTCGTATTGGCTTTCGTAAGTCGGAATCGGAGGAACAGAAGAAGCTGTGTGATTGTGGGAATACGGAGCAGGATTATATAACGATGAATTTGGATTGGAATTGGGATTGGGATTAGGGTTAGGGTTAGGAGGGGGATAATTCGGAGGTGCTTGATGTTGATCATAGGGAGGATAATAGGGTTGTGACGGTGGCTGATAAGGAGGATTGGATTCGAATTGAGGATTGAAATTAGGGTTTGAAGCGGGAACAGGATCGGGATTTTGAGGAGGATATGGAGAATATGCAGGGTTTGGATAATCGTAATTGGGAGTGAAAGGAGGTGCAGAAGCGTAGTGATTGGGAATTGGATCGGATTGAGGCGGCGTAGGGTTGGGGTTTTGCATGTGAGGGAATTGGTAATATGGAGCGGAGGTGTAATCTCCTTGATGCATGGTTGATCGTGGGGAAGTTGATGAATCGCAGAGAGACTCTGTAAGGTGGAAGAGGAATATTGATTTGTGTGTGTTTTTGGAGAAGATGATCGTGGAGAATGGGTTACAACTTACTTCGAAACTCAGCTAAAACAAACCCACTTCGAATTTATAATAGTTTATTCTTCTTCTCAGCATCTTTTCCTTTTATAATATTCGTAATTTTGAATTTATTTTATACATTGATATATATAAAATTGAATTTTTTTTAAGTAGCAATGTTATATAATTTAATTACCAAATAAAACAAGCTTTTCAAAAAATTATCAAAATGACCAACTTTAAAACTCATCCAGCAAGCATTCGTCAAATAGTTTGCCGAATTAGTTAAAATGTTGTTTCAAGGCATTCGCCCAAATGGAATGGCGAATTAGGCCATGTGGGAATTGGTTAATGTGTTGTCGTCACATGAATTGACGAATGTGGTTAATTTTTTTTCGTTTTTCTTGTATTTTTTATCAATAATTTAAAGTTTTAAAATTTTATTTGTTTTTTGATTTCAATATCATTATTATTAGTAACTATAAAATATATTAATTTATAATATAAATAATATTAATATAATTAAAATATATTAGTAACCATAAAATATATTATTAGTAACCATAAAAAGAAAATATATTAATTTATAATATAAGTAAAAATACATCAACAAAAATATTAATATTTTGAAAATTACAAACAAAAAAACACTAATGATCGGCTCTATCCAAGTGACCACCGGTGCCACATTGGGGGGACGCGTGTTGCGACGAGGTCTTCGACGAGGTTGTTGTGGTGTGTCCGGTCTCTGTGTGTTGAGTTGTGGAGGAGGGTATGGTTGTGACGGCCCCTGCGCATGAGATAGCGTTTGCATCATTTGACCCCAGTAGCCGGGAGGTCCCATGTCACATGCGCTTCTGTAGTCAAGGCCAATGCCCATGTTTTCGTACGATTGTCAGGGAGGGTGGGTGGAGTATGGACGGTATGGTTGTCCGAAAGTGTACATGGAGTTGGGTTGGTCTAGGTGTGTTGGTTGTTGTGGGGTGTGGTAGTCAAATAGTGGGTGGTTGGAGGTGTAGTTGGAGGGGGTAGGGTCAAATGAGTTGTCCGGGCTATAGGTGGCACGGGTAGGATCAAAAGACATATTAGGGCTGTACTGGTAAGATGGTTGAGGCTGACCTCTCAATTTTCCTAATCTTTTCTCCTGGAGCAATATCCCCTTCTAGCCAGCGGTTCAGTTCCCTGTGCAAGTGCTCCAACGTCTGCGTATTCCACAGGAGCACCTTCATCGGAGGCTTTGTTGCTGAAAACACCACTAGGGCATTTCTTTTCATTATATCGAACGTTGGAAAAGGTTCCTCCGATGCTGATGATGACGAAGAAGAACGTTGATTTAGAAATGCAGACATTATAGACTCCACTCAATTCAAACCGCACTACCACTTTAGTGATGACGAAGAAGAACGTTGATTTAGAAATGCAGACATTATAGACTCCACTCAATTCAAACCGCACTACCACTTTAGTATTTTAGAAAATAATGTTGTTAAAACATACATGTGTTTGAGCTCGTATTTATAGCCAAAAAACTATTTATTGTTTATTAAAAAGTGAAAATTAAATGCACCAATAAATCACAACAAGTGAAAAACCAAAAGGATTTGATGACAAAGTGATTACCACTGGGATGGCTATACATCCATTGATGAAAGCCACCCCATAAATATATAAGGGGAGTTTAAACATTTAAACCTAATTTTTTTTAAGTTTATTAATAATATAAAAAAATAATCAAAATATAAAAACATTAAAATGTTTTAAAACTTAAATTAAAATTATAAAAATAATCAAAATAGTTTAATATTCAAAATAAAAAAACGAAAAAAAATTGGAAACCCTAAAAATTAGCCACATTCGCCAATTCATGTGGCGACAACACATTGACCGATTCTCAAATGGCCTAATTCGTCATTTCATTTGGCGAATGCCTTGAAACAATATTTTAACTAATTCTCCAAACCATTTGGCAAATGCTTGCTGGATGAATTTCAAAGTTTGTCATTTTGGTAATTTTTTTGAAAGCTTGTTTTATTTGGTAATTAAATTATATAACATTGCTACTTAAAAAAAAATCTATAAAACTGAATAAAGCTCTAATTCTCTAATCTATAATTAATTTTTTTTAACTTATAGTTAATTTTTATGTTGAAAAAGTCTTTTTTCATGTGATAAGATTTGTATGAATTTTTTTTTTATGGTTTTTCATTATATTTATCTTTTAGAAAGTTGTGTTTATATTAATTTATTCTAAAAAAAACACAACAAAAAATATTATTGGTAAAGATTGTAATATTGATAATTATTTTCACTCTTATTTGGATTCATTACACTTATTTCATTTCTCATTTCACTCCAATCTCTATTTCATTTAAGTCTAAGATTAGATGTATTATCAATATATTTGATTTTATCTTATCAGAAAGTATCAATGGTCTGTCACACGTCGTTGGATTGCAGCTTTCACCGGAGTTAGGGAGAAAGATGAGGTATACCTGCAAGACACTCTGATGCTTAAGTGAGTAAAGGATCAGAGTGAGAGAGCAAGTACAGAGAAATAAGTGTAAAGAATAAGATACCTGACCCTCTAGTGAAAGAGGGTATTTATAGAGAGACCTCAGCGCAGGGTCAACGATTACATTGCATTGGGTCAGACTACTAGGTCCAACCCGAGTAACTGTTAAGGCTTACGTGGCGTAGTGAAGACCAGCATGTGGTCTTCGCCCTAGATCAACTGCCATGTGATCTTCGGAAGGTGGGCTGACCAACTCTTTCAGAGGTGGGTAGTTGCCTGATGACGTGTCTCCACGTGGAGGAGCGCGTGGAGGAAGCGCGTGAGTCTCCCCGTCAAGGGAATCGTCTGCCCGACATATGTGCCTTGTTGAGGCTTGTGCCGAACGGGGGAGAATTGGGCCTTGCCAGCGTAGCGTTGGGTTGGGCCTGTCCGACTGAGGGGCAGGTCCCGACCCAGTCTAGAACAATATCTTTCCCATTTAAAATATCTGTAAATATTAATTTACTAAAATCAAATATAGAAAAATGAAGAAAATAATGGCAGACCAATTATTAAGTCCTTTCGGACGATAAGTGGTTCACATGGGCATGAGATATTCTCATATGTTATGGCTAAGATTTGTCCATATTGTTAAGAAGACAAACATTATTTAAAGGAATTTTGTTTAAAGTTACGGCGTAGGTATTTCCACTTTTTAAATTAGTAAAGATGGTTTGATTTGATTTTGATTTAATAACCATGCATTTAAAAGAATTAAATGGTGCATTATTACCTTTGTCACATGATTGACTAATACTTAGTAAATTATGATTTAAACCGTTAATTAAAAGAATCTCCCCAATCGTCGGATTGTGGGACTTACCAACCGTAATAACACAAATGATTTTTTTCATTATTGTTGTCATCATAGTAGACAAAACTTCCCTTTCTAAGAGTGAAGGAAGAAATCAAATATTTATCTCCAGTCGTATGCTTTGAACAACCACTATCAAGGTATGACTTAGCGTTTGATACTATAAAGCATTCCTGCATCAAAAACTTAGGTCTTAACTTTAGGTACCCAAGTTATTTTGGGTCCTCGAATGTTAGTTTGATCAATGCTTTCACATGATTTCTTTTGATAATTATAAGAAGTAGACATGTTTCTCATTTTTCGATAATCATGTTTACTTTCACGGTTCTTCTTAATGAAACAAAATCATGCAATATGACCATTTTTACTATAGTAACTACATTTAAGGATTTTACATTCATGGGTTTGATAAGCATGACATATTTTGTTAAAATTCTTAACATTATTCTTAGGTTCATACCTTAGGTCAACTTTCCTATATGATGCACTTTAATTTCTAAAAAGAAGATTCAAGTTATCTTTCCCCTTAAGGAATTTACCAAATGTGTTTTGTAAATCCTTCTTTTCAATTTTTAAAATATTGCATAGATCGCACTTGATAGATTCAGTTATTGCTTTGTGAGAAGGGGAAGAGATTTGAGTTAAAACATTTTGCATATCTTTGAAATTTTCTATTTCTTCCAAGAAGTTTTTATTTTCAAATTCAAGGGAATGAATAGTTTTTTTAGAAGTAGAAACAAACTATTTTAACTTATTTGTTTCTTTATTTATCGTCTTGCAAATATGAAATAAGTCATGATAAGAAAAATGGAAAGTTACCTTCTTTTTTTAATGATTTTCTATGAGAATTATAATAGCTTTTTCATCATATGATGAATTCATGTCATTCCTGTCCTAAGAAATGTAAGCTTTCTTATCTTCTTTTTTAGGTTTCTTGAACTTCTTCGGATTCTGGTTCCTTTTCTGGTTTTAAGGAAAATTTGATCTTATGTGTCCCTTCTTTACACATTGAAAGCATGTAGGTGTAAAAGAGGATTTTCCTTCATTTTTTTTGTTCTTCCTCTTGTTGCTTTTCACGTTTTATAAATCTTTTGTTGCTTTGAAAGCTAAGCATCATTTCTTCATTAGAGTCAAAATCTTTATCTTCTTCATTTTTTAGTGCTAAAGTTTTATTCTTCTTATCGTCTTATTCATCATCTATAATTCTTTTCATCTTCATCTCATATTCCTCCAATTTAGCAAAAATAGTATCCAAACCCATGGATGACTGATCAATCACCATTTGTGTTATAGTTTTCATTATTTTATCAGCATTAATCCAGGTGATTTGTATAAATTAGCTTGTATTTTGTCAGGAATTTGATTCATTTTTAGTCGATTTGTTGTGTCATGAATTATGAGTTTCTCGAGGATATTTCACGCTTTTAGTATGTCAGCAGGTCAAATATAGGTTTGGAAGCTCAGAGGATCGAGTACGGGATGCGAAACCAAGCCAGAACGAGAAAGCGGTGGAAAAAGTGAATAAAAACACAAAGTTGTTGCCCATATGCGTAA